CCCTAAAACCCCTCAACCCCTAAACCCTAAACCCCTAAACCCCTAAACCCCTAAACCCTAAACCCTAAACTCATTGTTTTTTGTGAGAGGGGCGGGATCTCCGGGGCCGGGGGTCTCACCCAAAAGGGACCTAAAGGGCTTCCTTTAAAAGAGATCTATAGAGGTTCCTTTAAAGGGATCTACAGGGCTTCCTTTAAAAGGGATCTACAGCGCGTCCTTTAAAAGGGAACTATAGGGGTTCCTTTTTTGGGATCTATAGAGGTTCCATTTTTGGGGGATCTGTGGATGTTCCTTTAAAGGGATCTATAGAGGTTCCGTTCGAGGGATCTGTGGATGTTCCTTTAAAGGGATCTGTCGGAAGGCTCCGAGAGCCTGTTGAGGAATTTGGATTTAGCGTTGGGCCAGAGCTGATGCGTTTATCTTGGCCTTACCTAAGGGGTTGCTGGGTTGACAAGCCACGGTTTGGGGTTTGGGGTTAGGCTTGTTTTGAAAAGTTGGACAGATTTCGAAAGCGCTTCTGCTGCATTCCGCGTCTCAGTCTCGTGTTGATCCATACTACTACTGCTACTGCCTTTGCAGAACTCTATCCTCAAGACACCTCAAAACCCCACATTGTGACTGCACTTACCAACTACTTCCGACTCGTACAATTACTTATCTTTCCACTCCGAAGCCCTTCACCCACTATCCTTCAAGCCCCAAGCCCTGACGCTTATGCACTCCAGTGAAAAGCTGCATACTTATAAGTCTCTGAGGTTCCTGACACTCAAACTACAGGTCCCTATACTGCGGGAAGTCGTCAAGTTCGCTCTCAAGCCAGCAAGGTTGTGAAAACTTACCGGCCCAGCTGCACCCACAAATGCTCAAACTGAAGTCCTGGGACGCTCCACGTTTCAGTCTCACACATAACCGAATCAGAACCCTCGGAAACACTTTTTTGACAACTGCAACGCATTTCAAAAACCCAAGCCTGAGTGCGCTTCAACACACATCCAACCATCGTGCACCACACCACCGGGAAGCCAAGTTGCAGTGAGTTCCTTTGGGTTGGCACCTCAAGCGGAGCGCTAGAAGCCAACTTTTCGGGTTTAGGGTTTAAGGCTTGGGGTTTAGGCTTTTTTCCCTCTCGCACTGCTGAGAACTATGCCCACGGCGAGGTTTAGGCTTTAGGGTTTAGGGTTTATGGTTTGGGGTTCTTTAGGGTGTTAGGCTTTAGGGTTTAAGGTTTATGGTTTGGTGTTCTTTAGGGTTGTAGGCTTTTTAGGCTTTGGGGTTTATTCTGAGCTTGAGGAGAAAATGTTCAGGGCAGCCTGCGTTGTCAGCATGTAGATTTCAGTAGGGTTTGGTATCACGCTCTCACAACTCGGACAAGCCATGGGTTTAATGTTAGGGTCACGGAGCCTAGGGCGTTCGGGTTTTTGGGCTCCGGGTTCAATCTCGCACAACTCGGACATGAGAGATGTGAGGTCTCAGGGTTCGCAGTCGACTACTGGGCATTTAGGGGCTTTTGGTTTAGGGTTCAGGGTTTTTGGGGTTGTCAGTCAGTGTTGCGAAACTCTGCCCCAGGGATGCTAAATAACAGATCTTCGGCCTGGGACACAAGTGCCTCTGGTTCAGAACTTGCTGCAAACCAGGCAACGGGTGGAGGTCAGCTCCCGCAGAGTGCTGAGCATGTCCTGGCACTAGCACAGATTGGAGGTGGCATCGTGCAGCAATGCTGACTTGAACAACAAGAGTCCCTGGACCTGGGGCACCTTGGCTTTGGCCACACTGGACACCGAGGCACCGTAAATTCACGACGCCTTGATATATCAAATCCTGAATGCTCAGCATGCGTCTACAGGGCTGTGTAACAGGTCGTGTGAAAGACCTGTTTCCGAAACAACGACGCGCCGGTACCGAAATCCCAGCACTTTTAGACACAGGTGAACCGAGCATAAATGCAGGCAAAGCTTTCAACCCCTAAACCCTAAACCCTAAACCCTAAACACTGCTAAGCCCTAAACTATGAACCCCGAATCCTCTAGGCCCTAAAGGCATTGGAATCCCATCTCCTGGGGATCTGTCGGCTCACCTGCTTAGGGTTTCGGGTTTGAGGTTGTTGAAGGGCTGCAAAGTTGCAGCTTTAGAGGGTTTCTTCAAGGCTTTATGGGAGCTTCTATACTTGTAACTTGTAAGTAACCTAAATTCTAAACCCTAAACCCTAAACCCTGAACAGCTTTTTGCTTTAGGCTTTGTCCTCAGAGAGTGGCGCTAAAGGGCTGCATGGCTTAGGAAGATATTCATTCGGACGACACTGCCTTCTAGGACTGTCACAAAGGCCTGAAGAATTTCAATACCGCTTTTGGGGGGGTATAATATACTCTCATACTGTATGTAAGATTATGCAGGGGCTGGGAGGCTCATGAGTTCCGGCTTCGATACTATTCTCGGGACAGACACCTCATTGCGCTATATCGGCTTGAAGGCCTTAGTCACTTGGAGATCATGTAGCAAGTAGGGTTCTATAAGCACCTGAACTAGGGTCTAAATAAGTATAGCTTTTAACTGCCTTACTCACAACTCTACTTGCTAAGTCCCCTGAACCTCTAGTCAGGCAAACTTCAAGCTTCAGTCCACCGTTCGAACGAAAAGCTCCGGCTGCAAACCGGTATTTCGGGATTTTGAGGCTCTGGTCGTTAGGGTCTTAGGGTTCAAGGCTTGGGGCTTCAGGGGTCTAGGGTTTAGGGCTTGAGGGATTTAGGGTGTCGGGCTCTGGGAGTTTAGGGTTTAAGGGGGTTAAAAGGGCTTTAGGGTTTATCAGGGCTCAGGGTGGCGAAGCATACATTATCTAAAACCCATGCAAATTTCAAACCATAAGCCCATCCCAGGCGCTCACTTTCGACGAGGGCTTCGAAAGGCGGCAGCTTCGGGATGATATTGCTGTTTCTCACATTCCAGCAACATCAGCCTGCCCTCGACGGTTGAAACCGCTAAAGCCTAAAACCCTAAACCCTAAACCCTAAACCCTAATTAATAAGTGCACGATGTCTGCTGCTCTGGTTTCATCCAAGTCGCCGTCCGAAAGGAAGATCACCTCAGCCAGGATTCGGGCATCGCAGGATTCTTGGTCGGACCTTCAGAAATCCTTTCCTGGATTCAGGAGAAGTGGTAAGAATAGGGTTTAGGGTTTAGGGTTTAGGGTTTAGGGTGTAGGCATGCTGTTTCTTCAACCGAAACGTATCCGAAGCCGCGGATCTTCCGGCGCAACCGTTGGTTGGGATTGACTCTCCTTCTCCGACCGATGTTTCATGCAGCGGGAACAAGCCCACCACAGTCTGATAGATAAGGGCTCCTTTAAAGGGATCTGTAAGGATTCCTTGTACGGGGATCTAGAGTGGTTTTTTATAAGGAGATCTTTCATAGGCAGCCAAGACAACAACGCAGAAACCCCAAAACAACAAAACTTAGATCCCAAAGCCCGCATAAACCCTTTTTTGCTGTTGATCAGCTGGGAAGCAGCACTGCATGATTTCACACAGCCCTGCATCAAACAAAGACACAATACAGTCACCCTTTCAAGTCTCCTGACACCTGTGTGCTGGTATCCTCGCACGACGAGAAGCTGGTTCTTGGTCTTGTTGCTGTCGATGTCGTTCTCGTCGCTCTCCGCGTCTAGCTTCTTGAACTGCGATCCTCGCTCCACGATGTTGTACAAGCAGATGAGCAGCTTGTGCTTGGGCCTGATCGTGCATGCCGCAGGCTTCCTCCATCCCTGAGTCTGGCAAATCCTGCTGCTTGACGTCACGCCTCGCATGAGCCTCGGCACCGTCTGTTCTCGCAGTATCCCGAAAGCACTTCTGACGGTCGGCCTGCAGTTGGTCAATGACCGCTTGCTGCTTTGCCATGGTCTGTTGGTGCCGAAGAATGATACCTTCAGCTCGATGTTCAACCTGCATCAGCAGCTTCTCGCACACTGGTTGGGAAATTATGTCCTCGTGCGTTTGGCAGAACTTCTCGCATGTTTCAGGAACTTCGAACCAGCTGGTTCCCATGTCTTGCGGACGTGCCAATGAAGCAAGAGTTTCACTGAGCTGCCTCCTCACATGTATCAGATCCAGCTTCTTCGCAAGCCTCATGGAGAATGCAACGCACGATGCAAGCTTGCGCTCGCCTGGAGACAGCATGGCATGCAACAGGAAATAAAACGGGAGAAACGAGATTGCTGTACAGGGCCTGCCCGGTAGGGCCTCGCAACCAGAGTGGCTGTGCTTAAACGACTCCAAAAACCCAAGCTTCGCTCCTCGAGTCATCAACGCTGAGGGCCACATGACTCTCAACTGCGAAGCTGTTCAAGCGCAGGGCTCATTTCGGACATGGCCCAGGCTTTCCGAATTGGACTTTCTCCCTCTTCCTCTTCGGCGAGAGCTCCACCACCTCGCAGCCAGGGTTGTCAGCCAGCAGCGCGCTCATCGCCTCCCTTTTCCTTTTTGCCGACTCCGCGTTCTTCCTTCTGACGGCCGCAGCATCCTCCTGGCTAGGACCCTCTTCTTCCTTGGGCTCCTCCTTCTTGGACTTCTTTGCGGCAGGAACCAAGAAGCACTCCAGCGTGGGAAGAGGCACTGAAGAAGACGCCGAGGACGCCGAGCTCCTTTTCCCATCTCAAAAGGCCT